ACAATTTTTCAGTTGCTAATTTAGCTTATCTTCAACTCAAGTTGCTGGCTTGTATTGATGCTATATTTCGCAAAGTATGTTTTTTTGCCCGTGATTACAGTGAAAAACTTAGTACAGGTTAGTCGGAGTCGCAGAATGTTGAGCGGAGTAGCTCTTCGAAGAATACAACCTTAATTCCTCTACAATCCATCAAGGTGAGGTCAATTCTCATAATACTCCAAAAGAAATATGGAATAGAGTTAAGTAGCAATAACTCATTTAGGAGCTTTTCGAAACCCATCTTTTATTCATATATTGGTACTATCCTTTAATAAGCTGGGAATTTAATTTTATTACTATATAAATACTTCAAATAACTGCTTTTGATTTCTGCATTCCTGGGCAGCGCTATGGCAAAATAGTGAAAATCTGTTAGTTTATCAAGTCTAACTGATATAGGGAGTAAATTTGAAAATGTCTATTTAACATGGAGAAAACAAAATAAACTGTAGCAAACATGAGACTATAAAATAACTTACATTCATATGCTTATTCACTTCGCTTACGGCCTCATCATCGGTAGGAAACTGATAGACGTGAATATTGTTTGTATGTATCTCGGTCATAAGCTGCGAGTAAAAATAAAAATCACTCACCCGTTCTTTAAACAATTTTAGTTCAGAGCGTGTAATTGTATCTGATTTTGCAATAACTGGAATAATATTAACTTTAGTTTCTAATCGTTTCATGGATAACAAATCGAGTGACTTTAGGCTAGACGAAGCTAGTGTACATGAAAGGTTACCTGTGGCCTGTGGGAGATATAAAATAAAGGCAAGCATGAATTCTAGTATCGTGCAAATTGCTGACGTTACGTTTAATTTTGAGCTCTTCTTGGAGATATTTTTCATATTGTTCATCAATAAATTCAAGTACCGGTTTAGTACTTACGAATTAATTCTCAAAATTATTACCTATCTTCACGATTAATCTGATCTCCAAATCCTGATGTCTCTGTTATAATTAATTTGAGATTGACATTTCCTTCCTTCAAATCTAAATCGTAATAAGGATAAAAAAATTTTTTACCAACGCTTATTGATCTGAGCTTTACATCAGTAAGGTCATGAGAGGATTGCTCAAAATCCAGAGATTCATTAAAGAGCGTTTCCATAAGAGTTGTTTTACCAAGTCCAGTTTCTCCTTAAGATATTAGACGAAAGCAATACTTGCCAACGCATAAAATATTAAATATAAATCCCTGACTGACAGCCTTGTTTACCAATTGATCCGGTAAGCTATCGAAACCCACATAACCTGATTGTTTAAGAGTACGGGGCTCAGAGATCTTAAAGT